ACTATGAATTTGCTCAATCGCTTTACTGTTCTGGTATATATTATTGGAGAGTCTCGACTCCGTTATTACGGCATCCAACTTAACACCTTCGAGTTCAACAGATAATTCGTTACACTTCCTAATATTTTCGCCGATATCCCCAGCAGAAATCGACTGGGCACCTGAACCAGACGCATTCTTTCCTAACATGCAATTTCCACAGGGAACCGGGGTTTCCTTTATCAATCTACTTATAGAATTGTAAACATTGTTTGTTAAATCAAACAGACGATCAATTTTCTTGAGAGCATCTCTCAATTCTTCAGACAAATGATCACAATTCTGGTTTACCATAAGTGAAATATAACTCTAAATTGTCTGAATCTCATATTTTTCGGACAAAAACCATCGTTCTAAATGTGATTTATCACGTATTTTTTTTTAACTAAAAGGGCACTTCTGCCCCCCCCTGCCCCCCTAGCAAAAGGCAGGGGGGGGCAGCCGCCCCCCCTGCCCCCCAGTTCCGGCGTCCCTGGCACAGGCCGTAGTTGGCAATTAGGTAGTTATCAATACAACGAGCAAACTATTACCGTCATGCCAGGTTTCTGGCGATGTTTAAATTTCAGTCCCCAAATTCTGGCCTACCGGGGCAACTGACTCGGTGGACTCATAGCTAGTTACGGGCTTGCAGATGATCGTCAAATTCAACGAAATGTTAACAACTTAACAGTCATTTTCTCACTTCGATACATAATTGCTGGTTGACCACCTACTGCAGCTAGTTCTTAGAGACCTCACTGGGGGGAGGGGGACAAAATTGCCGACTGGAGGGGCCAGAAAGAGGGCTGGGGGGTACATGTCCCCCCAGTCTAGATGTTAAAAGAGGTCCTGTAGTGAGTTCTTATCTAGTGAGGTTATAGAGTGAATGGTGTGGCCTGCGAACTCACCAGATCTCAACCCAATTATGCATCTTTGGGACCATGTCAAGCGCTCTGTCTATCGTCGAAGCACAGAATACAGCACTCTGGCTGACTTGTAGGAGATCCGGATGGCTATACCTTGGTGGTAGGTGAGCAAACTCGTCAATACCATGAGGTGACAACTGACAATGAGTGGAGGTGATCGAGAAGCGTGGTGATTACACCCATTTTTAAATCGTTGATTGAACATTACTGCTGTTCAATAAAGTCGTTCTTGTTAATTTTGCAATTGGTTTTTTTTTGTATTCAAATATTCATGTTTTTCACGTTTTTGGCCATTTTAAAGTAACGTTGGCCTCCCCCCTGCCCCCATGATCAATGTTGGAAAAAGTGGGTTGAATTTTCTCTTCACTCATTCACACAACATTGAATTGGGGGTGAGGGGGGCATTTATGCGGTTGTCTCAATAATTTTTGCTCCTGATTGTAGGTCTAATTAGCCTAGTGATCATCAGGGATGATTCGTTTGTTTAGGTCTTATGTTGATATATATTTAGGGGGGAACTTTCTTCTGGTGCAGTGTTTATATGACATGATTGTTCTTGCGTGCTTTGTCGTGTCTGCCGTATCATGCTCATGGTTTAGGGTTGTGAAAGGTGTCAAGGTCAAGGTCAAAGAGAATATTAGAGAACTGATATTAGTGCGCGAAACATGAGGTTGCGCCATACTGAAATCCGAATTTTGTAAAAATATTTCCTTTAATCTTTATTGCGCAATTTCAGGGATTGCGGAAGCGGGGGTAGGGGAACAAAATTACTGTGGGAAATACCTAGAAATTCACTTTCCGGACTTGTAATTCTCAAAATATTCTGAGAACGGTACTTAATCTCAACACCAGCCACCTGATTTTGCAGGCGGAGAGCGATGAGGAATTTTTTGAAAAACTAAGGAATTTCAGAGCTCATGCCAAGGAATTCGAAAGGTCAGGATGACGTATAACATCACATGACAGCAAATATTCCATAGTCCATACAATTTCTTCATAGAATTTTAATTTTTATAATCTTTATACGAAGAATATTTTGCCCTTCTGCGGTGGTTTCAAAATGAACAAGAAAAAGGTAACAACAAACGTGTTTGTGTGTACACAACTCATTTTTCGATGCTAAATTTAGGATGATTATTGCGTGTGATTTCACAATATTTTGTCAATCATTTCATGTTATGATTCCTGTATAATTCTATGTTGACAATTGACAGTGTTGTCCTGTATAAAATGTCTATAAAGCTGTGGTTGTTGTAGGTTCTTCTGATGGGGAAAAGTGGGTCAGGAAAGACCAGTATGAGATCCATTATTTTTGCAAACTATATAGCTCGTGATACAAGGCGACTAGGAGCTACAAGTAAGTAGCTGTTATTGAGTGATTGTGATTGATGAAATCATGAATAGATATACCAATAGACCTTGCTGTTTATTCACTTTTGACCCAATGGCCTCGTTTTTGCATTTGCCAGTTTCGGTATGACAGGCGGCACATGAAGGTTATATTCCCATGTTTCCTTCGCGATTTGGTTCCTGCTTGATCTTAAGCCCAATACCAAGTAGGTTCTTAACCCTATCGACATTGTGCATGAAACACAAGTAAATACCTGACACAAAAACAAGATCATTGGGTGATTGGTATTGATTATTGGAGTTGTTATTTGTCCAGTCACAGAAATCAAAGAGCTTTGGCTATTTGTCTATGAGTTAATTTGATTGGTCCATTTAAATGGCCAGCAGTTGTTTCACACAATAAAACCGGAACCTGTAGCTCAGTTGGTTAGAGTGCTGCACCGGAAACACAGGACTGCAGGTTCAATTCCTGCACCTCTCACCCTTGCACTATCCTTGGGATCTCTGAGTTATTATAGTTAGTAAGTTCATTGTATGGAAGGTTTTTTTATTGTTACAACTTAACCCATTAAGTTGCATTGTGCCCATACATGCCCTACTTTATTTTTTTATTCTGTCTAATGCCAGATGATTTTATTTGGTGAGGGAGATCGCTGGCACTCAGAGGCTAATCAAAGTATTTGCCAATGTGTCAGTTAACCCATTATTAATTAAATAATGTTGCATTGTGCCCCATTGCACTCTACTTTATTATTTTACTCTGTCTAATGCCAGACAATTTAGCTCACCTAGGGGAGAGAGAGGAGAGAGCTGGTGCTCAGGGGCCGGTTGTCCAAATACTGGCCACCTTAATCCTAGGTTAATTAACAAAATACTTAAAGCAATCTTCCACACAGCTTGTTTATAAACATGGTTATATTTTCCCAGAAATGTTGTCTAGATCAATAGTCTAGATCACTATTTTCTAAAGTTTGAAATCAACGGATTTGCAGCTGTACACAAACCAAAACAGTGGCCAGGTTATATTTTAACCCAGAGCTCTAATCTAACATCGTATTTTTGTGAATGCTAATGTTTGATAATATATCATCATTGCACTTGACTGGATGGTACTACTCAATTCAACCATGTTTTTGTTTTAGTTGATGTTGAGCACTCGCATGTGAGATTTCTTGGAAATTTGGTCTTAAATTTATGGGATTGTGGTGGGTAAGTGCAAACTATATCAGTGATTGTGATTTCATCAAGTGGATCTAATTTGATGTACTGGTATTCAAAAACCTGCATGATGATATTGATACCAATATTGAATGGTTTAATCCATTGATTATTGATACAGTAGATTCTTCCCTTTACCAAAATTTACTTATATAACCATACAGTACAGTGCTGTCTGTATCATGGCCGGATTTTGAGGTAAGGTATGCACCTCCCCTGAGATTTTTTGCACCTCCCCTGTAAATTAACCCACCTCCAATTGAAAAAAGTCAAGTGGTGGATCAAAGTCAAGATTTGACTAGAATACAGTTTGTAACAAAGATTTCTCTATAAAATTGAAAAAGTGATAATCAATCATCTTTGTGTCAAATGTCAATGCAATGTTTCTAAAGAAACTTTGTAGTCTTGTGACAAGGGATGAAGTTGTATGAGTTGTATAATTCATGAATACACTGATAGAATTACACTCCACAGTGCATGCCTTCATCACACAGTTGACTTTAAGGTGCTTTGTTCTGAGTGGAAGCCAGACCGCTCCAGTCCTCGCCTAAAATCTTTTGGATACAAGTAATACCCGAGTAGTGACTGTATGAACTAGAGGTGTGCATCGGATCGGATTGGACGTTTATAATCCGACAATTGGCTAATGTTTAAAATCCAATCCGATCCGAAATTGTCTAATCCGAATCCGATCCGAGTTTTGATAAAGAATTCCGATCCGATCTGATCCGAAGAATCCTTTAATATAATAAATTTCTCATTCAAGTGGAAATATTTAACCAAATAAATATAAAAGCAAGAAGTACATGTCAAGAAGCTGACAAAGTGACGTCCAATTGAAGTATCAAACGAATAATGCAGCGACAACCGCGTTGTCGTGGATAATTAATTCATTTTATTTCGAATATTGAAGTCCGATCCGACTATGAAACAACTTTATCAATCCGATCCAATCCGAAATGAATATTTTTGTTCCGAAATCCGAACGAACTCGATCGGATTTGCACACCTGTATTATGAACTGAACTCGAATTTAGCCACTGGTGCAACACACTCCCTCGTATAAGAACAGAATGTAGTATTCTGACCACAGTTCGGGGGTTTTGTAGATGGTAATTATCGAGTGGAAATTCTATGTACATTTATTAGACCTAACCAGGAACAGAAGCGAAAAATGGTTACTGTAGGCCTAATAAATGTATATAGAATTTCCAGTCAATAATTTCCATCTACAAAATCCTTCAACTATATTAATATTCAATCGAGTGAGATGTCATTAAAATCTCGATATTTCAAGTAGAGCCAAAGAAATTTAAACGAATTTACGAAAAGCATTCGAATTTACTGTATGAGACATGAGATCCTTGATTTGCAAGGGGTACAAAAAGTAACGGCGTTTGTATTCTCACGAAGCAGACAAGCGCTCCGTCTTCACCTCGCTCCCTTTAGACTACATACATTCACACATTAGCCATCGCGTTCACACTATATGCCGAAGCGAAATTGTTTGAAAACGTCACTGTTGCCGTAACATTTTGAGTACGGTTTCTAAACGGAGCAATATGAAAACGGAGCGCTTGGCGGCTACGTGTGAACACAAACGCCGTTACTTTTTTGTGCCGCTTGCAAACCACGTGTCTCAGGCACAGAATAAAGACACACACACAGAAGGTCAACTCACTCAAAAAAGCGTAACCGCTGCCACGTCACAGATGAGGTATATACAGAAATGAATTTCCCGTCAAATTGCGGATTGTTTTGTGTCACACGGAATTTGCAATTCCGGCGAGCGCTGGCAAGTGTCGTTCGGAAATTTAATAAGGAAAGTAATAGGAGAACGCCGTTTGAAAGACGAAAAATTGTTCTTTTTTAAAATCTGCGCGACCGACGGCTATGGACGACTTGCGCTTTAGACTAAATTTTAATCTAAGTAAGAACAACGAAATATATCACCACAGCTGGAAAGAGCGTCTTGGAATTAGTAATATTACAAAGTTTGGTTGCGAAATATTGTAAAATACGGAAAATATAGCCCTTCAAAGTTGGCAAATTTGTATACTTTTGTATTACGTGCGTGAATTGGTAACTAAATTAGTTATCAATTTCCGCACGTAATAGAAATGTTGACAAATTTGCCAACTTCGCAGGGCTATATTTTCCTTATTTTACAACATTTCGCAACCAAACTTTGCAGTTTTTCTAATTTTGATAACTTCTTTCCGAAAATATCCTTTGTTATTCCCGGATTAAAATTTTTTCTAAAGCGCAAGTCGTCCATTGTTGGGATGAATTGTTCAAGAGTAACGGTAAGCGATCACTTTTATTGATTTCCTTTTATTAAAAGTGTTAACATAACATTTTATTTAGCAAAAGTTTTTTTTTTCCCTATCTTCTCCTTATTGAAATCGTGAAATACACTTGCTGGGAATTTCAGATGCTCGTGTATAAATAACAAAACAGCGAATGATATAAATTCCTCAAAATATAACTCTCGCATAAAAAAAACATGCATACTTCTATAATATGTATAGTTTTATTCCTCTGCATTATCAAAATTTAATAAAATAGTGAATTAATATAATTTTAAAGTTTATTTGATCGGTGTGACATAATTTGCCGCGAGATTCGTCTCTGTATATCTCTCCTCTGTGGCCACGTCATGATTCGTCATCAAAATGCTGACGCCATGGTCCCAGCCAGTGCGTTTATGAGAGTGAGCCAGTGACTGCCTCCTCCACAGGCCCTCGTTGTGTCATGGGAAGGTCACGATTTCGAGAGGGCCTGCGGAATCTTGTAAAATGAATAAATGTTGTTTTGAGCCTGCTTCGTTGAAGAAGGCAGTTTTATTCGTGCAACGTTGGTGTGGACAACAAACCTTATCGTTAAAAAATGCTTCCTTCCACGTCCTAAGAGTCGCCAGTTTAATTTACAAGTTTCACACCGCTTTTTTATATCTGTTTATATTCAAGATTATGTAGAAATTTACTTGCTGACGTGACGCCGGCGCCATTTTTTTTACAAGATTCCGCAGGCCCTCGCCAGATCGTGACCTTCCTATGACGCAACGAGGGCCTGCGGAGGAGGCAGAGCCAGCGAACACTAATAAGACTGGAACGATAACTGCAGGTAAACATGCCCATACTTGCCTGAAGCCAAGATGAAGCAAACCGTGCGAGGAAATTGTACTTTTAAAAGGACTAAGCAGAGTTTCGAGGAGTGGGAAATTCAGTCAAAGTTTATTTTCGACGAAAATGAGCAAGAAAAGTTGTTTTTCATCAAAAGACTTCAATTTTAAAAACCCAAATACGATTTATTTAGCGGGGTATCAGGTTTGTTTTCATAAAAACGACACTAGTTGAACGTGCCGAAGTGAAGTTTGCTCTTTAACTAAACAAAATACTTTAAAACATAAATCCACGGACCAATACCTGTTTTGATTAAAGTCTGGGTATAGTTATTTATTTTGAGTGCTTTTTGACATCTCTAAAATGTGAATAAATCGATTTTTCTGTAGAAACCCCCCGTGATTTGCGATTTGTGATTTGGCGCCCGGGAGAAGTATCGCGCGCTGTGACTTTCAAAAAAGAACTGGGGAGAGTTCAATTTCCTCATAACTTTTGGGTTTTTTTTAGCAAAAATACGCCGAAAAATTAGGTTTTTCGTCCGAAGATTTCAATTTCAAAGATTCAAACTTGGTTTTTTGGATAGTTCTAAGTGTTCTGCATCAACTAGCTGCAAAAACATTTGAGGTGTTAGGCTATCAGCTTTATATTTGAAATATTTAACATGCCGAAGAAAACTTCGCTCTCAACTTGCAAAAAAATAAGGTTTAAATCTATCTACGTTCACGAAACTTGTTTTGGAGTGAAGTTCAAGTATTGTTGTTTGAATTAAGCCTTTATTCTTGTTCAGATAAGGCTGTTTTGTGTCAAAAATCGGCGTTCTTTTGATGGTGTAATTTCGACCTTTGGCCTTCATGGCGGCCTTCAATTTGGCTTCAAAGATGGCGGCCGAGTTATCGTTCCAGTCTTATTAGAGTTCACCATTGAACTATAAATAAACTGGAAGGCTAACTCAGGGGGGGGGGGGATTGAAGCCAGTGCATTTTAGTTTTTCTGAGTTATGAACAGAAATACTCAACACTGAACGTTGGGCTATATATCAAATTGAAGCTATTGAAAAACGCTATTTGGTGTAGAAATTTCAAGACTTTAGCCAAAAGGGAAATATTGAAAAACTACAAACATAATTACCGATAATTTGCCTTTTTGCAGTTGTTTTTGTATTTTTTAAATATTTTTCTTTTCTCTGAAGTCTTCAAATTTCCACACCGAATAGCAATTTTCAATAGCTTTAATTTGATATATAGCCCGACGTTTGGGGTCAAGTATTTCTGCTCATAACTCAGAAAAACTATTTTGGCTTCATCAAATCATAGGCCTTCATCATAGCAGTTAGCCTTCCAGTTTATTTATAGTTCAATGGAGTTCACTGGAGTGAGCGTACGTCCGCCATTTTGAATATTATCAGGGGGTGAATGAATGCCTCTCATAAGCGCGCTGGTTAGGATAATGCCCAATTGCCCATGGCGTCAGCATTTTGATTACGAATTACGGTTACGCCAAAAAGTCG